TACATCCTGCCTATCAGATATTTACATGACGATTCATCACAGTAGCAACATTACAGTGATGAAGTAGCAACGAAAGTAATTTTATGGTTGGGGGACACCACCACAGAGGAACTGTATTAAAGGGTCGCGGCATTAGGAAGGTTGAGAACCACTGCTAAGCATCGCCTAGGAGTTCCTCTCGCCTGGAATGCCCTTCCCCCGTCCTCTCCGGGCCTCAGCCCAGCCCTCCACCCAGCCTTTCAGCCCTACTCCGCCCGCCACACCCCAAGCTGGCGCCACCGCAACCGGCTGAACTCTGACCTCTCGCTGCGGGCGCCGCCCCTACCCTCGCTCGGGCCCTAGGCGCTTTCTCCCTCGTCACCGGGCCCATGAGAGTGTGAGTTCCCTGAGGGCAAGAGCTGCGACTGGTCCCACCCGGAGCTCAGTGGAGCAGAGGGTAGAGAAGAGCTTTTTGCAAACCCGAGGCCAGCATACCAACGAGATGCAAATGAGCCTATAAAACTGCGCCTCCGACCCCCCTCTTTCGTCTCACCCTTTGTCCTGTGCTGTCCCCCAGATTCCGAGAAGCCGCCGCTGTCCCCGGAGCCCTCCGAGGGGCTCCCGCGGGCCCCGACCAAAAGGCTGCGCAAGCCAAGGACCATCTACTCGAGCCTGCAGCTGCAGCAGCTAAACCAGCGGTTCCAGCACACGCAGTACCTGGCGCTGCCCGAGAGGGCCCAGCTGGCTGCACAGCTCGGCCTCACCCAGACCCAGGTGGGGCCGGCCCTATCCTTCCTGCATGCTAACCATTCCTCCGTGTGTTCTCTGGGAACTCACCCCCCAGGGTGGGAATGACAGATGAGTCCCTTAGCCCTGTTGTCACAAGTTCTCCGGGTGTGTTCAGAGCTGGCCCTCAGTAATCTGGGGGAATGTCTTACAAGGTGTTGGGGGAGGGGGAGGCTTAGGTAGAGGAGGGTATCCAAACTGGGAGAGCTCAGGGGTGTCCAGGGCTACGGAGGACTGGAGCCAGTGTTCCCAATGTCTGCTCTTCTCCCAGGACTGCACCCTACTGCTGGGTCCCTTTATTTGGGTCACATCCTTCCACACCTATACTCCGCCTGATCTTTCATTCTTTCCCCTCTTCTCCCTGAAGGTAAAGATCTGGTTTCAGAACAAACGTTCCAAATACAAGAAGCTCCTGAAGCAGAACTCTGGGGGGCAGGAAGGGGACTTGCTTGGGAGGCCCCCCTCCCTGTCTCCCTGCTCCCCACCCCTGCCATTCCTCTGGGATCTCCCCAAGGCAGGGGCCCTGCCTGCTGGGGGCTATGGCAACAGCTTTGGGGCCTGGTACCAGCATCACTCCCCAGATGTCCTGGCTCCACCTCAGATGATGTGAGCCTGGACAAAGGTGGGTCGGGCCTCCTACACAGCCCAGGACCCAGCCCACCCGCACCTCTTCTGGGCTGGGAGGAAACCAGCTCCAGATGGATTTTCTCAGGATGACGAGGAACTAGAGGAGAAAAAGGATGGGATGGAGGCCTGTCCCCCTTTACCCCATAACCCAAAGAGCCTAAGAAAGAACTTCGGTCTCAGCTACTGCTCCTCACCACTGCCATGGACTGAACACCTTCCCTTCAGCTGGTCAGAGGCTCTGGAGTCATTGGCTGGAGTTCAGACTGCTCCCAGGACCCCTTGTCTTGCCACCCCTTCCTTGAAGGACCACAGTCCCACCACAGTCTGGTGTCAAAACCAGCAAGAAACTCTGAGTGATTTTAATTTGTGTGCCTTGGACCCTGCCCAACCCTTTTGAGAGCAAGAGCGGGCGTGAGGTGGGCACCCAGCCTTCAAGTTGACCACCATCAGGTCCCACCTCCCAGTGTTTCCTGGAGGTCAGCCCATCACCCCATAACTGATATACCTTCTCCCCTTCATGTGAGGGAGAGGAATGCTGAAAATGTGGAGTTCATAGGCCTCTGGGTAATTTATGTTCTCTTCCTTAAAAAGCCCTCTTCCCCTCCCCCCCCTGTTTACAATTTTGAGTAGATAATGGATTCAATGATCCTTATAATTCAATGGGTATTTATTGAGCCCTGCCTCATACCTAACCCCACATGCACATACTCTTGGGAACACAGTAGGGTAACCCTTTGGGTAGAATGGGGACAAATAGGCTCCCTGGAAGAGTGTACGTAGAGACACCCCAAATAGGTGGCATGGGCCCAACAGTTCCGCTCCTCACAGCTGTCTCTGTCTAAATGAAATACATTGATAACCAAGCTGACTAGCATCCCCATGCTCTTGCCATCACCCCTCCTGCTGTGACTTCCCGAAATTAAAGTTTGTACGAAAAGCTGGGCCCTGGCTCTGAGGTGTGTTTGTTTACTGACTTCTGAGGCTGGCTGTTCATCTTCCTTCTCAGCCCCAAACTAGAGGCACTGGAGCCTGGTTTTGCCTCTACCACTGGCTCTGTGGCTCTAGTTCTAGAATGTTCTAATAACGTCTATATTTCCATAATGGTCCGGTGTGAAACCAGAAGATGCTAATGCTGGGAATGACCCAAGTTTGAATGGTCCTCACCAGCAGAGTCACTCCTGGCCCAGTTCTGGAAAGAGCCAGACACCACACAGCCCCGTGCCCCACCTTCAGCCCGGAGAGACCCTGCTCCCCTTGGAAGAGGACGTGCCCACCAAGTCGATCCAGTCCATCCCTGAGAGAAGAGTGCCCTTGAGGGTGGCAAGGCTCCAGCCCACCTAGAGGAAGGCGTAGGAGGAGGTGGAGGAGAAGAAAACCCCAGAAGGAACTGGACTTCTCCATCCAATAAACATCCCAGATGCCAAGGTGATGGAGGCAGACCCTGTGGGCTAACGGATACCAAGGACCCCCAGAGACTGCAGGCTCACAGGGGAGCCAGACAAATGGCCAGCCACTTGTGTGGTGCCAGGCTCATGGGTAAACAGAAGTGTGGGCATAGTCCAAGGACCCAACTAGGCCTGGACCCATTGGTAGACTCATAGCCACCCTACCCCACCGTACATACAGCACCCAGTGGCAGGGGGACAAGGATAGCCAATAATTCAGGGAATCCAGCCCAGCTTGACTGGAGGGGTGGGGGAGGGGCCTCCAAGTCCAGGAAAAAAGCTCCCAAATCCAGCTTTCCTCTTACTGCCTAAACCTGTTCCCAAGCACACAGGGCCCGCCCTATCTGGAAAGACCACTCAGGTACTTTGAGTCAACCCCACCGGCCAGAGAAAGGCCCAAATTAGACTTGTGTATAGAGTAGCGGGGTGTGCCATTCAGTGGAAGGTCTGCAGTCAGTCCACCTAGGCCCTGTTCTGGGTCAGTGAGCACCCCCACTTCCCAAGACACACGTGGAAGTTTCTCCTGGGGGTGGCAAATGGCACGGGGCAGGCCAAAGCCAAGATCCAGGAGCAGTGAAGAATGAGGGTGTCAAGAGGAGAAACCTCCTCTTCCTCAGCACCAATGCCTTCCCCCCAGCCCTGGCTCCCCTCTTTCCATGGCTCTCAGGGGCCCTGCCCCAGATCCCTCCTCTGGGTCTCCTCCGAGGCCACAGGCCCTCCGGGCTGCTGTTCCCTCCCACTGCAGGGAGCACACTCCTCTTTCCACAGACCCACGATAAGATCTACCGCCCCATCTCGGAAAGCCTCCAAAGGCGAGATTAATTGGACAGCCAAACACGAGTCGCATCGTTAAAACAACAGCCCAGGTTGTAAAGTTAAGTAGCAGGAGTGTAATTGCTCTCCCAGCCAGAGGCCTGCTGAGCTGACAGCATCTCCCCCTTTCTCCCCTCTTCCATCTGCCCTTTCCAGGGGAAAGGAGAGTCTTTTCCTCCTTGGGAGCTGGTCCCGTTTCCCTGAGCTCCTGGGTGACGATGGGACTGGAACCCCAGCAGAGGAGGATTCCCATTCCCCCTCCCTCCAGCCCTCTGAGCTGTAGAAGGCGAACCTGTGGTTTCTTCCCATGAGGGAGCCCCTCTCAGAAAATTGGGTCAATAAGGAAGAGGAGGTAAGACCGAGTGGTTAAGAATGGGGGCTTTGGCCCTGGCCAGTGATCACTGTCTTGTGCACCGAAAGGCTGCTGGTTTGACTCCCAGTCAGGGCACATACTCAGGTTGTGGGTTCAACCCATGCAGGAGTCATCCAATTGATCTCCCTCTCCCTCTCCCTCTCCCTCTCCCTCTCCCTCTTCTTTCCTCTCTCTCTCTCTGAAAAAAAATTTATTAAAAAGATTTTTCTTTTAAAACAAAAGGGGGCTTTGACCTCCAAAGAGATCCAGTCTACTGTGTGACTTTTGGCAAGTGACTACGCCTCTCTCTGAGCCTCGATTTTCTGCCCCTCTGATGGGAATACTAATAGGACCCGCTCCGCAGTGCGGTTGTGATGATGAAATGAGATAGTGCTTGTAACATGCTTGACACGGTGCCGGAACATAGTAAGCACTTAATAAATGGCATTTACAGCTGCCGTATGATGATCAGGGAGGAGGGGCCATGGCGAGGTGAGCTCATTCTGCCGTTGCCATCCATTCACTTCCCCCCTGTGGCCCATCTGCGGCCTGAGGGGAGGGGAGGGGAATGGGGCTGGAGACTCCACACATCCCTGCCCACCGCCACTTGAGAGCAGGACCCAGGCAAGGCCTTCAATGCACTGGGCACGGAAAATCAGCCGAGACTGGGAAATGGAAACAACGCGTAGTCCAGGGCACATTCTCTCCCCTACAAGGGTCTCAGCCACGAGAAAGCTGACTCCAGCTTCCCTTCCCTCTCCCCGAATGCTATTTTAAGACCTGCTCCCCATTTTCTCCCCCAACAAAATGAGATTCAATTAATTCAATTAAAGCAATTTTGGGAGCAGCTCCTGAAGGCTTTCAATGTGAGATAATTACAAGTAATTTGCTCCTGTGAAGAGGAAAAGGGCACCCAGGGTCTGGGGGGAAAGGAGGTGGCCCCTCCCCACCAAACGCACACACACACATCTAGAGGGATTCCACACTGCAATCTTAACTGCCCTCCCATTGGCCAAATTACTTGCAGGTGGGGAGTGGGAGAATGTGTGGTGGGAGGGGGCTGGGAAGACACTGAGTGACAGACCGCCCCTCCCCCAGCCTCAAATCCTCTGTGCACAGAGAGGTGGGGGGCTGGTTGTTCCCGACAAAATGTCTGCGCAGCCCTAGCAGCTGATTACTCAGCTCCCAACCTCATTTGAGCTTGGATGCCTGAACTTGCCTCTGGGATTGTATCCAGAGTCAATGGAATGTTATCCGGGTAGCTGAGGCCTGTGTAGACGGGGCCTTGGAGATCAAGGACTAACCCCATCACTTATAAGGGATGTGGGTAGAGAGGAGGAAGGCCAGAGAAGGCAGACACTGACTTCCTGCTCTCAGGGAGGTGATGGTACACCCACTCTCTCTCCTCCCCTGATCTAGTGCTTTCTAGTTCTGCCTAGTATCTACTCTCAGCTCTTCCCGTGGCCGTGGTGGCAAATCTCCTCTCGGCTTTCTGTTCTCAGGGCTACTGAAGCCTCTTTCTTCAGAAGAGTGTCCTGCAGGGTGTTGCCCAACACCAGCTCACCTGGGATGACCCTTTCCTCGCCTGGGCTCATTTGACCTGGGAGGAGGTGGAGGTGGAGCTGATGGTGCTAAGAAGGGATACAGGTAGAGACTAGGAGATGGGCTTCAGGTCTCTGCAAAGACCCCTTAAACCCAGCCCACAAAGTAGCTGGTTTTCCAAGGATTAGGGTTCCCCTTTACCTAGAGCCCTGTTCCAGGAGGTGAGTAATGTTTTAACAATTATGTGGGAAAAGAAAAACTCAGTGACCCCCCACCCCCCATAAATTTCTGTTTTTATCTTCTCTCCCATCTCTCTTCTTGCTTCTCCCCTTCCAAGGAGAAGAAGCGGGGCTCCTTCAGCTCTAGCCCCTTCTCTGAGCAGCATGCATGGCTGTCGGCCCAGGGGGAGCCAGGGAAAAGTCCTATCAGTGAGTCCTGGGCTACTGCTGTCTCTTCCCTTCTAAGATGAAAAACTTAGAGAGGCAAAGTGGCCCCTCTCCATCCGCTCCTTCCCCCTTTCCTGGCAGCCCAGTTTGGCTAAAAGGGGGGGTGGGGGGAGTTAAAGACCCTTCCACCCCAAACCTCAACATACAAAGGTCCCAGTCAAATGCAGAGAGATGCAGGGATCAGGCACAGAAACATCATAATTGCACACACATTTCCACAGAAGATGATGCATATATGGGCAGGCAGACGCCCACAGTGGCATACAGAGCGGGCAGGGCTGCACACAGAGACACATGTGAGCATGTATGTGTTCATGAAGCCTTCCCGTGGTTGTACATGGACATATGTGAGAAAGCCCAACACAGAGGGATGAACCAAGAAGGAGACATACAGGGGCTTAAACATACGCAGAAACAGACAGAAACAACCAGAAACACACACCAATTAGGCTCCTTGGGAGCGAAGAGAACCAGTGTCTCCTCTTCTATTTTCTTCTCCTCCTCCTCCTCCTTCCCCTCCTAACTCTTCCTCCTCCTCCTCTCCTTGACTCTTCCCACTCCTTCTCATTCCTGCCCCCTTCCT